ATATATAAATATAACTAACATTTGGGGAAGTGATTTTTCTCCTAATATTTTTTTAAAATGTTTCCTTTTTTCTATCTATAAATACTTGTACAGTTGGAATATTAATATATAACTCTGGCAGTAGAGCTCAGCGCCAGGTGATGCTCACTTAAAAGACGTGTCTTTTGTATTTAAGGGACTTCTGTTTTGTATCATATGCAACTGCAACAGATTGTTTGACTTGGATTGGGGCTGCTCTTCCCATCCATGTAATTAATAAAGTACTAACAGTATCTGCTGGCTGATGAGTAAACCTTCATGCTTAGCGATTCTCCAGCACAGGAGCATCCCAGAGCTGAGCCATGTGCTTTCTTGCAGGGCTGCAGAGCTGGAGGTAGTGCCCGGTGGGCTGAGGAGCCACAGGCATCCTTGTGCCACCGGGAGGGATCACATGCTGCTGGCCTGCAGTGTCACCAGGGTAAAGCTCTTGCGGGACTTGTGCAGCTCCAGCTGCTTGGTCTGCAAACAGCCCTTCACCTTCTCCTGGAAGGAGGCGGTGGTGATGGTGTAGAGGATGGGATTCAGGGCACTGTTGATGGGCAGGATGAAGATGACCACCCAGGAGGTGATGGTGCCTATGCCAACAAGGGCATGACGTTAGGCGGCTGAGGGGGGGCTGCCCCTGCCCAGAGGTAACCCACCCACTCCAGCCCACGCAGCAAAGGGGGGTGATGCTGTTCATGGGCTCATGGCTGGAAGGGCAGCCTCCCACGGGATGAGCATGACTGCGGCTCCCTGGGAAGAGGAAGGGGCCCAGGGAGCCCAATAACACTGTCCATCTCCTCTTGCAGCCCACGTGTGGGGGAAGAGAGCACCAAACTCAGCAGCACGTACATCAAGGGGCCCCCAAGCCAGGGACTCGTGGTGGGCAGCAGCCAGTGGTGGGCTCTGCTTCAGGGCCTTGCAGGGAATGGGGGTTCACCTGGTATTTCCACCTGCAGCAGGGAGAGCAGCTTGAGGAGGAAGATAGGTATCCAGCAGAGAGCATCGATGGAGACGATGAAGAACCGCTTTGCGATGGCAACTTCCCAGAAGCAGACATCTCTCTCCCCTGTTTTGGATGCAGTGATGTGGATAGAGTAGAACATGCTGGAGTAGGCAAAGACGATGGTGATGAAGGCTGTGAGATTCAAGCCTGGAGAGGAAGAAATCTCGCTCTGAGAAGTGAACGTCGTGAGCCAGGGTTGGTAGCATAACCAGCAACAGCAGGACTATGCCTGCTTTTATCACTAGAGGGAGCAGAGACATCTCAGCAGTCCTGGCCTGTCCTGAATCCGACTGTAGCCTGGCGATTCCCATGACCAGCTCTGGTGCAAGGCTGGACACAGGGCCAGGCTGGAGCAGGGACCCTCTCCGGCCCAGGATGGAGGGTAGAGCTGGCACACCCATCTTACAGGGTTCCAGCGGGACAGCAGTACCCCTAAAGTCAGACATCCCACTAATGGAGGCAGTGTGGGCTTTCGTGGCACCCTGGAGGGAGTGGCAGGGCTGAGCAGCCCCACTCCCACCAGGGAAACCTGTCTCTGTCCCCAGGTCCCAAGTCCCGAGGTGGCCTTAGCCAGGTAGATGGTGGTGGAGTAGCCCCGGGCACTGGGCCGCTTGCCCAGGTCGGACTGCAGGGGGAAGCACACCCTGTTCCTCCTGTAGTAGTTCCCAAAAGTCTCCTTACACCACAGAGGGATGATGCTGAGAGAGAAGCCCAGAAGCCAGATGGTCACTAGCACCAAGATGATCTGCTTCTTGCCAGCTCTGTGGTGGCTGAACGGGAAAACAATGGAGAAGTATTTCTTCAGGGTCATGTAGGTCAGCAGCAGGACCGACACCTCGGAAGAAAGCATGGCCAAGCTGCCCACCAGCTGGCACTGGAGGCTGCCCAACCAGCCCTGGGTGTGCTTGTTGTATTCACCTGAGTACTTGAGGTCAAAGGCTCCGATGACAAAGAGGTAGATGCCCATCAGGTCATCTGCACCTGGCGGGGGAGACAAAAGGTACAGTGAAGAAAAAAAGTACCAGTAGGCAAACGTAGCCTTTTGCATTAATGCCATGGCCATAACGCCGTCATTGAACTAAGCAGCCTTTGGCTTCATGCATATATATATTTATGGTGGGTTTTTTTTTTTTATATATATATAGAAGAGAGCTGCCTATTTCTGCCTGTGAGCACAGACCTGAGGGCAGGGGCCGAGTTGCCCCAGGCACAGAGGGGTGCCCAGAAACCCATCTGCCATCAACACAAAGAGAAAGATGGCAGCGAAGTGGTCCTGGATGCTCTGGGGAGGGCTGGCATCGCCTAGATGGGTCCTCCATGGGGAGATGCTGGTGTGCAGCTCATCTGCCCCAGTTCCCTCCACACCCCCCCACTGGTCCCTGCCCCTCTGCCGCCCAGCTCACAGCACAGGGACTTGATGGCCATGGTGTGCTGGCTGTTCTCTGTGACTATGAAGGACCGCATGCAGATGACGAAGAGGTTGCTGAAGCAGGTGAGGCAGGCGATCACCCAGACGAAGACACGCAGGATGATGTTGGCGAGGAGGTTCTCAAAGGAGGAGATGCCATTGGTGTTGGGCTTGCAGCTGCGCACCTGAGGCGCGTAGCTGCAATACCGGAACTTCTTGAAGTAGCTGGTCGGGTGCAGGGGTAGGTTTCCTGGCTGTGACCAGGACCAGGAGCAAGCATGGTTCGGCATGCACAGCCACTCAGCCACATTTTTCCCTGTCTGGGTGAAGAGCCCACCTGCCTCACTAGCCAAGGGCCTTGGGGCTTACACAGAGCTGAGCAAGGGGGGATCCCCAGTACTGCAGCTGGTTTTGGACACTACATAAGCAACACCCCAAAGCCTTTGCAAAACTGGCTGGAGGCACCCCAGTGCTTTTTTGGATCATGTACCACAGCCCTGCTATTCTGTGCTGTCAACTGATGAATACAAGAGTGTTTTCCTCCAAACCATGAATCTCACAAACTAACATTTAAAAAAAAAATCAATCACTTATTCAAACCCTTCAAGTTCCATTAACAAGGATTCATATTTTTTCCCCTGCATATTATTTCAGATTAATCTTTTCGAGCCTTATAAAAGCCAACCCCTATAAGCTTAGCAAACTCTACATTAGAAAATGACTACAAAACTGCACTGCAAGGCTCATTTCAGCTTAATTATAGATAAAAAGGAGAGAAAATGATTGCTTATTAGCAAGCCAGGTAGAAAATGTACCATATTTATAGTGCAAACAGACCAATTATAGAAAGGAAGATGTACAGTTGTCTTTCATTACAGGTACTTTAAAATGTGCATCTGGAGAAAATTAGTGATTTTTTTTTTTTTCCTCCTTCCAAAGAGAAGCTGAAGCACTCACAGCTGGCTACACGGCCCTGTATCCACCCTGTGTGCAACACCTGTCCAGCCTGCCCATCTATCTAGCTCTGGGGTTCTTGGATCATTACCTCAGACCCAAGCAAAAGGACCTCTGATGGCATTACTTAAGTACAGCTTTCAGCACACAGCTTAGCACTGGGGCATGCCTTGGCTGACAGAATCTACCTGGCCCACTTCACCTACACGATGTGCAGCTCCAGGAAGGCAGATCACTCCTTGTATCACAAATGCACCCACATGGGGCACCCACGGCTCTGGTGGGCAAACAGACTGTGCAGCAAGGACATCTACCCAACACGATGCAGGGGTGCTGCAGGGGCACCCCCTGGGTGGGGCAGCCCTGGTACTCACAGCTGCTGGAGCTCAGCCAGGCCGTTAAACAGAGAGGAGGGAAGCTGGTCTAGTCTGTTGGATGACAGGTCGCTGTGTGCAGGAGAGCGGCATTTGAGAAGCGGTTGAGGGCACGAAGCCTTGCACCCAGGGGTGTTGAGCCACCCCCGCCTGCAGAAGAGGTGGTGGGGGAGTTCAGGGCAGGTGATTGCTGGAAACTTACAGCTCCACCAGCCTGTTCAGCCTGGAAAACGTCCCATCTTGGATCCACCTGAGCTTGATTCTGCGCAAGATCCTGCAGAAGGGAGAGGAGAGAGCCCTGTGGTGGTGCTACACAGGGGGTCACCCACGGGGTGCACCCAGCCCTGCCACATCCCTCCCAGATGCACCAAGCTGCAACTGTCACTGAAGCCGTCACCTCTAGCACCTCATGGGCCAGCACAGCCAAATGCTCCACTGTTATGGGGAAGGTCTAAGCCAGAGCCCAGCTCATAGGTGCAAGGCTCCATCTCACACAAGCCCACAGCCCGTCAGAAGTGTGGGAGATGAGCAGTACTGGTTAAAGTGCTGAAAAGTAAAAAACCAAGAACGGCACACCAAGAAACTCAAACGGTTTCGGAGCAGCAGGAGCAGAGCCTTGCGGGATGGCATGTGCTTGAAGGCACTGGGATATCCCATGAGTGCCAAGACCTAGGGATGGCACTCCTTGGCAGAGGCTCACATCAAGCAGCCGGGCTCTGCTGAGCTCAGACCCCAACCACAGCAGCCCATTCTAATGGCGTCTACAGTGCAGCCAGGCAGGATGGGGGCAGATGGAGGAGTCCAGCCAGGATGGCTCGTCCCAGAGCCCCAACATGAGTCCTCAGCTCATCTGCTGTCTCTGCTTGTGAAGCTGTCTCCTGTGCTGGTGTCACCAGCAAGGCGTGTTTACACCATCCGTCTTGCCTGTCTGGATGTTTCCATGGCACTGCCACAACAGCCCTGGGAAACACGCTGCTGATCAAAGTCAGCAGGCTGGGCTGCAGGGGGAAGGAAGGATGATGGGGCAGCAGCTCACCTGCCCGGCATGGGGGGGTTGAAGGCAGCTCTCTCTGGAGGAAAAAATGCAGTGGTGTACGTTTTGGGGATTTAGTGCCTATCGGGGCTTCTCCAAGAAAGGCAGGATGGGGGAGCAGGGTCTTCATGCAGCAATCTTCAGCTGGAAAGTCACAGCAGAACTTTCCAAAGTGCTCATCTTCAAAGACACTGTGTGGGGGCAGTGGTCAAAGGAGGACCAAGATCAGTCCCCCGGGACTGCCAAGTAAACTGCAAAGGAGATCTTCACTCCATCTGCATCTCCACGGGCCAGCCAGTGGCTGCTGCTCTTCACTGCCCATCCAGGGACCGCGAGGTGGGCGCAGGGTGTAGTGCCGTCCTGGAGAACGCTCCAACCTTGACACACGCTGCTCAGCATCTCTATTACCTACTGGAACCTCCGGCGGGAACTGCAGGGAGCTGAAGAGCATTTTGCAAACCTCTGTCCCAGAGGCGGGAGCAGCTGTGAGACTGGAGCACCCAACACCTCTGCTCTGCTGCTCCTGGCCATGTACCTGCTCCTGCATGGGGCAGTGATGCTGCTGCTGCTCCTGTGTTTGCCCTTAGGGCAGAGGTGTACTCCGCTGCGCCTCGCAGGAAAGTGATGTCTGGGGAAGGAGAGGGGAGCACAGCTCCTGCTGGGGATGATCCTGTCCCAGCCCTGGATCAGCTACTGTCCGGTTAAGCCCTGGATTTACTTGTTTACTCTGATCCAGCACCATTGGCACAGGGTCCTACAGCACATTCCTGGTGCTCCGGGTAACTGTGACTCTGATCCCTGGGAGGATGGCTCAGCTCCCTATCCCACTTCTCTTCTGCCACCACACTGTGGCTGCTGGTAGCCTTGTGCTTGTGAATGAGACCTGCAGGGTGCACAAGTCTCCTGTCCTTACCTCCTGGGGCTCTGCGGGCCATACATGTCTCTTTGGAAGATATATACAGCAAAACTAGACCCTGGGAGAGGGCTGTGCATCATTGATGTGAATCCTCTGCCTTTGCCAGCTCCAGGAGGGCACCTGGGCAACAGCTCAGCCCCAGGGCCAGGAGTGAACGGGACAGGAGCTGGCTCCAGGCAGGGGGGAGGAAAGAGACACTGTTTGACATGCAGAGATCCATCTCGCAAGCTTTATGGCCTTCCTCAGGGATATTTTTAGGGAATTTGGATGCCAGCAGAAGGGTTGGGCTGGCTGTGAGCTCTGGTATTCACACACCATAGAAAGCTTTTTCTGTGCAGTGTCCTGCCACTGTCTCTCACATGAGGAAGGTCCCCATTCAATTTGGGCAGCCCCCACAGGCTGGTGACAGAGTGCTGGGATGAGCCCACCAGCTTCTCAACCCAGGGTTAGCCATCCTCCAGCACAGAGTCCCTAGAAAAGGCTCTAGGACCCCTAATGAAACCCCTACAAAATGCGTGAAGCTGACTGCACTGTTGGTGCTCTGTACAAACATGGCTGCAAACATTAAATGCGAGACATACCGTAGCCCCTTATCTGGGCCAGAGCAGCGGGAAAGGGGGGTCCCAGCCAAATGCTGGCTATCCCCCCCTCCTCCCTTCATGAACCCACAATGGGATGGGGTCTGCACCAGCAAGCAGGGGCTATGGCCAGGCCCCGGAGGTACTCACAGCACTGTGAAGTCGCAGCACTCCTGGAAGACAGTCCTGTGCACCACCCGGATCCTGTTCCCTTCCAGCTCCCTGCAGAAAGGCAATCATGACTGCTCTGTCCCCCAGGCTCACCCCCCACATCCCCACCATGCTTGGGGGCTACCCAGCTGATCACTCACCTCCTGTTTGCCCCCCTCTGCCTCCATCCCCATCTGGATGCTCCCAGCCCTTCCCACCCCTTCTCTGCTCTGGGAGCCCAGCCGGTGAGTGGGAGCAGTGCCTGCAGCAGCCCCTGCCCACCACGCAGGCAGCCCCCTCACTGCCAGCAGGCAGGGTACTCACAGCCAGCTCAGCTTTGGCATCTCCACACAGAGGGAGACATTAGGTATCTGGGTCAAAGAGTTGTTCAGCATGTACCTGGTTGGGAGGCAGTAAGGAAAAACTGGCTTATGGCACCATACTCTGCATGGGGACACAAAGCTGCGCATGCATGCAGTCCTGCCGCTGCTCCTCCTGGACCACGCAGCCTTTCCCGAGGACTTTCTGCTGGTCCTCAGCTGGGGGGACATCTGCGCCACAAGGGCTGCTACTTGCACGGATACCTGGTGGCAAGCTCAGGGCCGGTGGTGCAGCCAGCCCGTTGCAGTGTGCTCTGCACCCCAGCAGAGCAGCCACAGCTGTGTGAAGCTGCAGAGTGAGTTCAGCTGCCACTGTCCCATGCAAAGGCACACACAGCTGTGAATGGTGGTGCAGAGCTTCATTCACCTTTTTTGGGAAAGAAGTAAAGGTAACAATACAGAGCACATTTAGTAGCTGTGGGAGATGCTCTCCAGTGAGCTGTGACGGGCACATCACCAGGAGGACGGTGCATGACAGCAGCATCAAGTAACCCTGGAGTGGCAGCCAGTAAAGGGAAATTTATAGCCTGAACTCCTTCTGGTGTTTTTCCCAGCACTTTTGCACATGCCCCTGTACACAGTGTTTGTCACTGCAAGTTTTGTGACCACGGTTTTTGTTTATTTGATTTGCTGGAAAAAAACCACAGAAGGATAAACAGAGTATGTCACCGAGTGGAGTGGCGCTGCTGCCTGCAACATGGGAATGTGTGGCTGAGGGGAGTTCTGTCCCCCCCTCCCCGCAGCCTGCACGGCTCCTCCTCCGGGGACAGGTCTGTGGTCACCAAATACTCCCCAGGTTTTGCAGAGGAGCAAACCCCTGGACTCACAGCCCCTCTTCCCCAAGCCTGCTGCCAGCCCTGGCTGCCCTCTGTCCCCTGTGCTGATGGGTCCTCCATCTCCAGGCACAGCCACAGTTGTTCCCAGAGTCCTGCACACCCCCAAAAAGCAACTTTCAGGCTTTTACAGACAACTGCAGCAGTTACACCCCCAGCAGAGACGGTGCGAGCCCAGACCAGCAGCCGTGGCTGAAGCACCCTCCTTGCAGGTGCATGCCCAGAGAACACAGCTTAAACTGTGGTCAGCTCTGAGTGAGTATGGATGTGCCTCTGCACTCACACACTCACATGTGGTTTTTTTTTCCACTATAACAGCCAAAACTACTCCCTCAGTGCTGATGCCAGGCTACTGCCAAGGTTTCCAATCTGTATTCTGGACTATGGAGAAGGTGTTAACAGCATTTTACAGCAATTTCAAAGCTGTTTTTGTGGTTGTTAAAGCAAATTCATTATTCTGTACTTCCTCTTGGAAATGGCTGGACTTTAAAAGCCCCTTGGCTTGAGGTAACCTAGCATGAGGACACCCAACAGTGTGGCTGCAGTTTGGGAAAGTGTCGGATCCTGATTGCATTCGCTGGCTCAAGGGATGTGGTCAGCAGCCCAAACGACAGGCACTGCTGCCCGTTCCACTCATCAGTAGGTGCTGAGGCTCTGCTCGGGCCAAACTCCCCAGGGACCTGCCAGTTCCAAGCAAAAGCATTTAATGCTGGTTTTAGGGTGTGCTGAGAGCAGGAGATGGCACAGAGAAGCAGCAGCACCAGCAAAGTCTGCTGGTTCCCCCTGCCAGCTCCTGGAAATGGGAGCGAGACAGACATCTCCCTTGGACTGTTACTCCTCATGCCCCAGGGACGGCAAGGAAGCTGCAGCATCCTTGACTTGCCCCAAAAAAGGCTAGAAGCTGCCTGGAGAAGTGCTGCAGGAAGAACCAGGCAGACACCCATGGAGCAGGGTCTCCCCAAACCCCGCAGGAGAGTTGCCCCCACCCCTACTTATAGGAAATACAGCGACTTCAGCCTGGCAAATGTGGCAGGGACAATCTGGGCAATCCTGTTTTTTGTCCAGCATCCTGCAAGAAGAAGGGGAGAAGTGAAAGAAGGGGACCCGGAGAGGGTGAGGAGGCAGCGGGACTCTCCTGTCAGGCAGGAAGGCGAGGTCCGTCCCTTCTCCCCTGCAAGCTTCCATGGACACCCATCCACGGGTGGGGGGCCTCCCTCTGAAGCCTGACCCACCGCCACCCCCGCTTTGAATCCTGCCCAGGCAGCCCTGGCTAAAGCCCTAGATCCAGCTGCAGAGTCTCGATTCCTTCACAGTCAGGGTCTGTTGGATTTTTCCTCTCTTCTGCTGTGAAATAAAGATAAATTAGAAACCATTTCGGTGATTCAGGGCTGTGCTTGGCTTCTCAAAGTTCCTCTGGCTTGTTCGCACCACAGACCACCCTCTGTGAGCTGCTCATCCTCTGTTTTCCCTCTTTGCTTTAAGGAATAACTGCACTGTCCCATGGCAAGTCAGAGGAGGGAAGGCTGGGGGGTGGCAACCCTGCCCGGTCCGCAGGGAAGAGAGGGATGTGTCTATGTCGTGGCCCCCAGCCGCATGGCTTGCAGGGCTGGCTGCCGCCTGCTCAGCATTCACAGGCTGGCTGTCCCTGGTAGTGCGTGGGGACAGAGCAAACGCAGAACAGGAACGAACCATCTTGTAAAGTCGCTTTTACGGTTTCTTTTCCATAGCGAAACCTTTGTAAATTCCATGTGTAAAACCACACACCACATGGGCCCAGATCAGACAGCCTTTGAGAATAAACAGAGTAGAAGGATAGTAGCTGTACTTTCAGTTTAGGTGCATATTTTTCAAGGTGATGGAGCTGCAAATCTCTCTGTTTAATAGCACGCTTAAAACCTTTTATACACAAACCTCTGGTGCTCTAGCTTGGGAGCTGAGGCTGTCCCTGTACAAAGCCCTTCGCCATGCCCTGCCACTGCTGAGGCTGCTCCAGACCAGCAAGGGGAGTGCAGTACGGCCAGTCCCCACTGGGAACAGCCAGCTGTTTCAGACAAGAGCACATCCAGCCTGTGCTAAACCCAGCGTCAGTAACAGGGAAGGGAAACTCAAACAGGAGTATCATAAAAGAGCTGCAACAGAGGCCAAGAGCACCCTGGTCCCCAGGGCTGGTGGGGAAGGCGGACACCCAGCAGGGCATCACACCCATTGCCACCACAGCCCCCAGCATGGGTATGTCACCACAGATGCCCTGAAACCATCATGCCCGCTTCCCTCCACCCCATCAATGAAACAAAGTTATAGTAAATAGGAGGAAGTGTCAGGATCTGTCACATCTTCTGGGTCTAGAGAAGGAACTCACAGCCACTCAAGACAACGCAGGTCCTCAAAAACCCGGGGCTTCAGCTGCGCAATCCTGTTGTGGCTGAGGAACCTGGAACCAGTGCAGAGGAGGAGAGCAATCCTCAGGCACCTCTGCCAATTAAACCCAGTTTTGCTGAAGCTGTTCTTCCGGAGCTGCCCCCGGCTTTGTGTGCCCTTGGCACCATCTCCCTTAGTAGCTCAAGTGCAGGATCCCAGCTCAGGCTGGATAATGTGGAGATGGCAACAGCTGTGCTCGTAGGAGGGGAAAAGCCTCTGTTTGGCTCCACATTCACCCAAAATACATGCAGCTCCAGCTTAAAGCATGCTTGATACCAGCTTTTGCAGGAGCAAGGGCTCAGAACCTGACCTAGAGTCTTCATGCCAAGAGGAGCCAAGGCTTGTGTCCGTCTCAGGGCTCCCCTCCCCAGGGCCTCGCAACAGACACATTTACTCACAACATTTTCAGCTGAGAAAGTCCAGCAAAGGCTTTCGGTGAGATCAACCGGATCCTGTTGTTTTGCAAAAACCTTTTTTTTTTTTTTTTTTTTTTTTTTTAAAAAAAAAAAAAAAA